TACGGAATGACGGTGAACGTACATCTTTCATACTATCTAAATTTTTTCATTACTGAACAGAAAATGAAATATATATGATCGAAACATTAAATCGATATGAGAATATTGTCGCTCCTACTGGAATACATATTGAGACGCTGATCATGCTTTAATTTGAGCACGCATTTGCGAACATTTCACTAGATGCAGAAAAACTACATTAACAAGACACATCAGAGTTGAACTCAGTGACGAGAAACCCAAAATTAATTTCCAGAAACAACTGAGCTCTTATCTATGCAGTTCTGAAAAGGAGACTGACACAAATGTTTTTTGGAAAGATTTATGAACGGCAGCAGAAACAACAATAACATCTATTAGTTATTTGAACCAAACGGTTCCGAAAAACCAATCGGTTTCCTCTTAGTCTCTTGCATTGATGGATTCTCGTAAACTCATTTCATCAGTCTGTGAACACGATGAAGAGCAAAAGCAAATCAGTTCTAGGTTAACCAACGGTCTACGCGATTGATTCTGATGGGCAACGGAAGAAGCAGAAATGGAAAAGGTAGTGGCTGTAGGCAACACCAGGCAACTCTTCAAACTGATAAAAGAAACCGAAATTAAGAAGTCAAGTTTAAGGGAGACAATCTCGAAAAAGATGAGAATCTTATCTGCTGTCAGCCCGGTCGTTTATAACGATGAGCGCAACACTTTAAGGAGCAGTTCAGCTGGCCTTCAGCTACTGTACAACTACCCACTATTCCCAGAAAACCTGAATGGAACATTGAAGTAGAGACCCATACTCCCGTTGAAGTTCAAGAGGCTATAGCTAATCTGATACGAGGAAGATCAGCTGGTCCAGATGGATGGGCTCCAGAGGTCTTCAAATATGGTGGTTAAATTTTAGTTATTGGGTTAACTAATATTTTAGCTAAAATCTGGGATTTGGACGTAATCCCATCTGATTGGTCACAACCACTTATTGTCTTAAGGTATAAGAAGGGATCGAAATCATCCTGTGATAACCATATAGAGATTAGTTTGACTAATGCAGCATCTAAGATACTAGTCTCAATAATTATCGGACGCCTAAGACTCATGAACTTCAAACACAAGAAAATCAGGCTGGGTTCAGACCTGGTCGTGATCCATGAAATTCAAACGAATAGTGTGACATTGAGAAAAGAGAAATGTCGAATCGAATGTATAGTAATTGTCTCATCTAGAGTCAAAAATAAACAAAATACACAACAACAACAGCAACGTTGTTTTCATGGTTGGAGAAATTTCACCCAGAGGCACACATATATACTTCAATATAAAAAAGGATTTATTGACTGTCATTGCAGTTATTTATAGTAGACTATCGAATGAATACCTCCTACCATAGAAAATAACCTCAAATATTCCATTTTAAACATTATATTCTCATTCTCATGTGTTTACAAAAGTTTCATCACTCATAATTTATGAATCATTGTGAACAGCTTGATGGAGCAGTGCACGAATTATGACATCAAATGAAATGAATGGTTGGACTCGAGCCAGTGTGCTAATGATGAATATAATATTTCAATTGATGGTAATACGATTAGTAATAATTTGATGTACATAGTGCTCTTTGAAAAAAAATTAATTTGATGAAACATTGATTGCAATAACAGACAAAGGATATTTATGAAGGTGGATGAGATCATCTCATTTATCACTTTATACTTACGCTAGTAAAGGCTATCGCCACCCCTGCTAGATGTGATTACATTATTTCATGCCAGCCAACTCTTGCTCATATTCCATGAAATCTATCCAAATCACAAACCCTGCCTACACTATCCCGCTTCACTGAGACATACCTAACTTAATTGAGTTCATAAGAATCCGATAGGTATACAAACACGAAGTAGGTAAACCACTGCATGAACAGTTTAAATGAGGGAATCAAACATATTTTACATGTTTCAGTATTTCAAGTTATATATAAGTTATTGAGATAGTAAGTCATATATTATTGAAATACCTCATCAGAGGTGTTGAGATATTTAGCTTAGCAACAAAAGAGATTTTCTTTATAGATTAGCAAAAAGGAGACAGCACATTCGGGTTTAGTGAAATTGGTGTAAAGTCAATTCAGATCAGATTATTACAGTATGAAAAGTACTTTCTATCAGCAAACAATGAATCCAACAGAAATTGTTGCATCAATTCCGTGTAAACAAGCGTCGCATTCACACAATTTTACTATCAGACAGCGCTTGCAAACATAAGTGTTTTCGTTTCTTCATATTTTGCAAAATTATTCTTGAACTGACCCGTTTGCATACATTTTATGTATAAAGGAATGCTCACTGATTGGATGAGTTAATTGATATTTTTAACTTCCATGTAGAAACCTGATTTACATTTTTGACTTGAGTAATATCAGGTTGAATAGTGGTTATTCTGCAACTACAATTCACAAACTTGCCTAAATAATTTTTCAACAAATATTTAGTTGGGAGTTTATTCAGTGTAAATTGTAAAACGTATCCTGAATTTTAAAGATTCCCATTGTGAAAATTAGAACAACATCAGTAAGTGAACAGTATTGTTTTCAATTAGATCGTCATCAGGCTTTACTCTACATATACATGTATGTTTATATGAAAATGTTAGACCAATCACAAGGCTTTTTGAGTCAATAATAATCACAATGAAATAGAAATACGTTACCAAGCCTAATAATACAAGTTCATAGTGGGAAGACAGGTGTACTGATAGTAGTAAGAATAGTAAATTACAATAACAAAAGTCTTATCAATCATTAAACATAAGAAATAGGGAGGTCAAACTTGGGTAAATAGACTGGAATAGTAATCATAAAACATTGAAATCATTACGTAATAAGAAGTATGTAAATAATCAGATAGTGAAGAATACAAACGGAAAGAGGTAGAAAATTACAAACAAACAAAAAATGATAACCAAAATAAAATTTTTTACAAATAATAATAATGTCAATTATTAAGTTATGTACGGCCATGGAAGGGATAGGGGGGTTACGAATTTCTTCTGTACACATAAATTGGGATGGAATGTACTAATCCCTATGGCTTCTGCTATATGAAGTAGACGGGAGCGAACTCCGTTGGGAAACGATGGAATTATACAATAGATCACTTGAAATGATTTCAATTTATCGACAATATGACCACTATCAATTAGATGTGCCAAGATAGAACTGCGTATTGTTTTTATTTGGCCCTTTCCAAACCATGCTGGTAGATGTTCACTCATTCGTTGGTTAAGTTACCTAGTAGTACGCCCGATATAGCTATCTCCACAGGAGCAGATGAACTTATAAATGCACATGGAGGAGGCCAACTCAGGTAACTTATCCTTCGTTTGAGTAGACATTACTAGTCGACTCGAGAAAGTCAATGCGAGATAGACTGCGTAGAAAGTTCTACTAATTACTCTTGTTAACCTATCTTTCAGAGTTTCACTAGCTACGTCCTCGTTGAATGGTAATTTCATGTATAAAGGTTTCTTACGAACAGTTGAAATCTCCGACTTCTTCCTCGTATCATACATATACTTTTTAATGAACGCAGCAGGGTAGCCGATCTCTGTCAGTGAGTTATAGATAAATTGAAGTTATTGACTCAAAGTATCAACAGAACAGATCTTATTTGCTCTACTAGTGAGGCATCTAACCAAGTTTCTCTTATATTGGATAGGTGTAAAGCTATAGATTGTATCCTGAATTACTGGTACTTTATTCTTACTCAATAAAAGATTTACTGTTTTGTTGAATTCTGCACTTCAATCATTTAGTATTCCTACAATGTCTTCAGTCGAATGACAAATTGTTAAACATTATATGTCATCAACAACATTGATAGATTTTAGTCGTAAACACTACACATTGACCATGGTTGATCAGGGTTCCGCTTTTCTGCATCATAAGGTATGTAGTGTAAAGATACTGTTTTCGTCCAAATTGAATGATCGTACACACTGTTTATCAACTAACCAACTTGTTCCATAAATTAAATTTTTGTCAGTAGATTCCCTCACAGTTTATATTCTCCTTCTGATTTGCTTCATTGCATCTAATAAATAAAACTAATACTTAAAAATTAGTTTTCTGTCTGTTAGAAATACGTTATTAATAATCGGTTGATAATTTGTATGCACACACTGTCATCCTTTTCATACTTATTCTGACTGTCTTCCGAGAATAATCTGTTGCTTAAATTGATGTAATGACAATTCGTTGATGTGTGGTGACTTTCATATTGGTGAACTGTAGTGAATGGATAATCCTCTTCATTTGTTTCATTGTGATCTGTTTCATGAATATTGTCTTCAATTTACACATAATTTTACAAACATGATGTACTAGATGTATCTGTAACAGCTGAGGCTGAGGTCAGATGTTTCTGTAAACCTCTCATTACCATATTAGTCTATTTTTAAATTACATGAAGGTAATCAAGTAAACGAACTGCTTTTGAAGATGTCAGCTCAAAATAGTTCTCGTATTATTTATTTATTCATTAATTATGTTCCATTAAACAGAAAATGGACGTTTAACAAAGCAGTTGATACATGAATTAAACATTTCGCAGACTTAAATTTTAGTTGAATGTTAAATAACAGTTTCTCATAATTTTTTCAAAATTTACATTCAAGAGCATAAAGTCTCCATCATTAGTACTCATTCTTCAGAATGCAAATACCAAACAAATATCTGACAGATCGAACTAATTTGAACCACAAACGTTGTTTACTACCATTTATTCCAGTAGCTAACTGACAGCCCACTTCACCGCTCTAATCAGCTTCATTTTGGCTATAAGGCTAACAAAACCTCTCCCTCAAGATATACTACTTTGTATTGTTATGAAGTAGCGATCAACCTGCTGAGTAAATTTCCATCTTACAATTTTCTTTGCCAGAATATTTGTATCACTGAAGTCATGAATTGATGCCGAAATCCGTAGGTTTAAATGAATAACGAATGTAAACTTGATTTTCCTGTCATTATATTTCAGTTGGTTACAGAAAAGAAATCTGTTACTGTTACAAAATATTTACTTTAAAAACATAATAGAAGTGAATTAATGTAACATGATTTCGGTTACCGTTTCGGTAAAGATTAGGTGAAACAAAGAGTAGATATTCCGCATTATCAAATGATCGTTTCCAAACATTTGATTAACGCCTTCCATATTTCTAAATAAAACAAAACAATGAATGATTTAAAATTTCTATACAGGATATGTAGATTGTACTAAAATTGAAGGGAAACTACTGTGTGGAGTGAACAATTATCTATTTGAGTAAAGGAAAGAGAAAACACTTGATGAGGTCTCCAAACATTACCACGGAAGACCATGAATCAACGCTAGTTTATCTTTTGATATATTTTGTAAGATTTTGATCATTGAAGTATGCTAGTTTTGGTGACATGCTTAGGGGAAATTATACAATGTCTTCTGTCCCATTGTTAAAACGAGTGGTTAAGGTCTCAATATTCAACCATTATTAGCGGTCATTGTATTTGCTCAAACTCAACCTGAGATCATTTTGTTAGTTTGTAGAAGTGAAAACATGAACAGGTTCAATAATCATTAAAATCTCAACAACTTACGTCCATCTAGTGATAAATAACACGTTGAAAAGAACTTTATTAGATGCTATCTATAAAACGTACGAACTATTTAACAAAATGTGGGACGATAATTTACCTTAGACGAATATCTACACTAGATTCCCACCCAGTGTCTATTCTACAAGACTTCAACACAACTCAGATCAAGAACACGAGATTAGCCTGACTACAACGTCAATATATTTCCACACCAAAATCCGACACGAGGAACAGTCAATCTATAACAGTCAATACATAATAAGGATAGGGGAATATATATATAACACATAACACCTGTCATTCTATCTAAGTGTGACTCATCAAGACAACCAAACATTGTCATTCTCGCCCACACATCCCTTATCGATTAAGTATCTTTAAAATTTGTGAAGAATTTATTCGCATATCAGGTTTTCGTAGATTTTGACAGCATCGATACTGTTCTCAGTGGAGCTGATGTACTTATTTGGTGACTGAATACAACAAATACTGGTGGAAGAATCAACATAAATGATAGCATGTTTTCCATACGCGTATTCATATATCATTGTAAAGTTGTCTGTGAGAAACTTATGAAAACATCTAAACAACTTGAAATTCAATTTACCAGGGTCTTATTGACTTTCTGTAATAGAAATTGTAAGTTATAAATATTACAAATGCAGGCATTGATAAAAATCATATAGAAATGTAAATTTCGTACAAGTGAATGTGGAGTAACTGTAGAATCTCTTTAGTTGACGAATTTTACCAAATACGGAGTAGTAATACAAGTGTACTTTTGAATATTAGATTTCGCTTAAGGCACTGATCATGAGGCTGATCTACTATTCACTTTATTAATAAGCTTGAATTCGGATAAGAATTCGACGACTCCAAGTTCACTATTTGTCTGTATTTGAATTATTACTTTTCGTCTTAGTATTCACTGAATTACTTTCTTATTTTCTGAGTTATACTCGATTATTTATCAAGATTAATGACTGTTCACATTCCAAACTTATGCTAGAAATTTTGTTTTCAATCATCAGTAACGAGTATCAGTCGACATTTTGTAAAAAGTCATTTGCTGACCATATGATACTGCTGAATGAACGATTTACTTGCCTAATCAGACGTTAAATGTGTACATATTAGACAAGACGGAAAATTTCTCTTTATCAGTTTAAATGTTGGATAGAATACTGATGAGAAATTATGTGTTCACTAAAAATGAAGTGTACCACCAACGTGATCATGGAAGGTGTTACGTCTTAGTATATCATAGAAATAGCATTTTTCAACATGAGAAGTTATTTATCATGATACATGCATATGAAATGTCGTTCAAAACAATGTGAAACAGGTTTAACTGTACGGAGTGACGGGAAACGTACATCTTTCGCCAATTCTACTGATGCATTATGCTGAACAGGAAATAAAATATACACAAAGGAAACATTAAACTACTAGTATATGAATGTTCGACTAAATTCGAACTAATAGATCCACAGTAGTTGGGCTCTGAGTTAATATAAGGCATAATCGAGGAAATGATATTTTTCTTGAAAATCCCAACGAATGAACTTCAAATAAATAAAACTTTTCATTCATTAGTCTGATATAACGTTCTTCAATGGAAATAATCAAGTGTCATAACAATCGGATATAATAAATACAAGGTTTATACATTGTGTCTTCTTAACATCTGAATATGTCTGAATGGTTTGTTTGATACATGGATAATTAATGAACTATCTATTCGTCCTAGATACATTTGTTCCTTATTCGTTTCCCTTGAAAAAGCTTAAATCAGATTACCGAGTGAAATGTTCAGTTTATTGTAAGTTGAATCATTGAATACAATCTCCAAATTATCGTTTTATATTCAGTGTGTATTAAATTTACCGAAATTGCATGAAACAACATTTCGATTGGTTGACATCTATCCCTTCAAAAAGGGTCAAAATAACTTCCGAAATATACAAAGAAGCAAATGAGTAAACTGAATGTTTTTCAATGGTAGTGTGGTGTGGTCTACTTATATCCATATAAGTAGTATATGGTGTGGGTCAGACATAGAATGTATTTTGGCAGAAGACCGATGACGAAAGAACTGGAATGAAGCGCAATCGTCTGGAAAATGCATGAGCAATGGAATTAGAGAAGAAACAGTGAAGATTGAAACAATTGGTTGTTAATTTGCAAATTGACTGTTCATTGTTTGGTAATCAGAATTTATTGAGATAGTCTGTAATCTTTGCTTAAATACATTCGATTGTCCCCAACTAGTGTTCTGTTCACAACAGTAGCACACTATTTGGGTTCCAGTATTTATTCAGTTATAAATTCGAGGTATTTTGAGAAGAGCAATAAATGATTTAAATTAACACAATGAAATTCTACTATACAAACGTACCAATCTGTCAGCCAGATGTCCACTAAAATAAGTGAAATACGCTATTGGTAATAGAATCACAGACACAGTAACCATTATGAAATGTCCAAAATAAATCAAACCATCATTGTCCAATGCTAGTATTCAAGCATATTTTGGTAACTTTGTGATTTACAAAAACTTTTCAGTTAATAAAATATTGTTAACTACGTTGGATCAGTCCATATTCACATATGGAATCTTTGCATACGCAATTCAGAAATAGATATAGTCATAAGTTAATAATGTTTCACATGGTATATATTTTAATCGTTTAATGATCCCCATATTATTAAAAGACTAATATTGGTATATATTTGACAAATTATTGACACTAATACAATTGTATATGAATATAAAAGTCAATAAATAAGGAACCCTATTACAAACATCAAGTTACTCACCCGAGTCCCACAGACAATCGTCTAGCGAAATAACATTTTTATATGTGTTAATGATGGAATAAATTGTGAGTTTATCTTTTTAGCGGAATAAAAAAAACAAGAAACTGAATTCTTCAGTCATGAAAAATTGCGAATATTAGTGTAATTGGAAAACTGACATTTGGTCTGAAGTGGATAACTGAAGAAGATTTTGCCATGAATCCACATCACATCATGAGTAGTTTTGAAACAAGTTTGTAACATTCGAATGTATATAACAATAATAAAATGATAAAAATTTTCAAATTCCTATTTCTGTAGTATGATTTCTCTCCAATTTCCAGAACTCATCTACCCATCTTTAAATAGGAGTTGGCCATAAACTAACTAACATATTATTATTCATACTAATGTTATCTACTCACGAAGGACATAGATATTGTCTTCATTTCAGAAACAATTCCATGAGAAACTCTTGAACTTCCAGTAATAGCTGAACATTTATACAGAAATTATAAGAAGCTTCAGACGAAAGGCACAAACAGTTCACACAATTGACAAAAAAGAAAATTACAGATGTAATTCACACATTACGCACAGGATACATCAATGAGTTAGTTTACCAATGTAGTTTAAAATACTTAAATAAACCATTTTACGGATGTTCAACAGAGGATAATTATAATTTCTGAAACTGAAATGACGTCTTCTTGTCTGTTTAGTGTAACCCGTCATTACGTTCATAATGATTAGACTTAAGAACTTTCTCTGTTAGCTTCATTCTGTGATGAATTCTGTAAGATTTTGTGAATGACTAATGATTGTTTGATGTGAAATGATTTCAAGCAATAAACTAACGCTTATCAATAGAGTTAAAATATTAGTACTAGTCATTTAAAATAATTCTATATCTCAACAATTGACTTACGATCCTCTGGAAATTCAATAATAATAAAAAGAAAAATTCTTGGTCAACGATTCAATGTTAAGCAATTTGTTTGCAAAACCATTTGAATGATAAGAAAGAAGAGATAGATTAAGAAGGATTATGAGTAGAGATAAAACAATTGTCTATTGCAATGATTCACTTACCCTCCTCTGGAAATTTAACAATAATAAAAATAAAAATTCTTGGTTAGAAACATGTTTGCGAAAATATTTCATAAGTAAACCAATTAAATGATAAGAAAGAAGAGATAGAATAAGAAGGATTATGAGTAGAGTTGAAGTATTACTTGGCTACGAACTAGCCGCATTCAATAGTTCTACATATTTATGAAATCCTATACCTTAATTTCCCAATTTATAATAGATTACATGCAGTGACATATAACATATCATCCAAGAATAAATTCGAGTTTAAAGCTAATACTCAAACAATTGGTAGTTATTTCGGAATTCAACTGAGATGGACTTACCCATGAACCTCTAAAAGTAATTTGTACAATAATACTTGTAGGTTATGGTGACTTATAACTTCTTATGCAGTGGCTATTAATGTTTTACTAATACAAATAGATAACATTCTAATATTTGCCTATTTACAAGCACTCTTCACCTTTGCTGCGCACTACATACATCAAAATATATACTTTGTTCGATTGTACTTGTGTATTCCCGCGCAGGGAATGTAATCTATTCATAAGAATTGACATATGGCGTGGGTAGTTGACTACGAAATCCTGAAATTTTGGACAGTTCTATTATTGGAGTATCTTCGCAATCAAGGCAAATTCAAAGTTATAACGATGGAAGTGCACATATATTTTACGATAATAGAAATAAAATGTTCATGTTTCCTTCATTATTTCTTTTTCTATAAAATATTACTAGTAATGCACTGCGTTCGCTTGGCTAAAGAAAACAACTAGTTTCTATTACTGTGATACTTACCCATATATGGATTTTGAAATACTGACACAAGGACCAACATCAATGCAATGAATAGAAACATCTTGCCAAATGAAAGTAGTTAGAAACATGTGTGTTTATATACTGTTTTAGAGGTCATGTGTGGTTGGTGAAATGACGTATACTGTCAATCTAGTCACTTACTAAATGTTTCATTTTAGCGAGTTATTCACAGTTTAAGCACTTTCAAATCTTTGATTGATGGATCAGTGTAAATTTAATAAACACTTACATAAACGTGCATTTGAGTAGAATTAAATTTACATGTGATCAGAATAATGAATCATTTAATTTCGTTTTTTGAACTAGTTTTTCTGAATTATCCAGTGTTCCTTCTTACATAACGCTGTGACTCGTAAATTAAAATAGGATGTACTTTTAACGAAGGAAATATTTACCGCCAAAAGAATATCGGGTCATTGACGAATAATTCAAGATAGTGTCACATGGATAATCATAGTTTTTAAGCTGGTGTATTGCCTGAAAGTATTTCATCCATTTACAGTAACAGAAAACTCAAGCTTGTAATGTAATCGTTAGATATTAATGATGTTGATTATGTTCCGAAGCTCTATGGATTACACTATGGATTTTCCACAGACCAGGTTTATCTTCAAGCATTCATGGCCTGGAATCATAAAAATAAAAAAAAGTATAGGAATTCTTCAGTTTTACTGATCAAAGTAATGAAAAAAGAGGAAACAGTTGAAATGATTACTCAGAAAATAACAATTAGTAAGATAATCTTCATATCAGAGTGTTTCCTGAAACGAATGCCGCATACTAATTTGTAAGTAAAATTTCAAACTACAAACATCATTCATTTTCGTATTGGTTGTTTTATTCTTCCCATTGATGTTCAGGAATGTGATCGATCAGACTCTTATAGACATATGTAGATCCTATGCGGATAGCTTCGATACTGCCTTAAACCATAGGCAGGTACATCCAGACGACGAGTCTTTAATAGAACGAAACGCGCGTGCTGGATTTCACTGCTAGCCACTATTCATCTTTGCTTATCATACTTCAATTTATTGTTTGATAGATGATTTCCCTTCAGATATCACCATACGTATTACCCAAACAATCATTTAAATTGAAAATCATATTCTCATAGATTCACGTTCTACATGTTTATTGAAAAGCAATAATAAGGATATATATTCCTCATGTTCCGTGACATTTTATTGTTGTTCACATATGAAACCGATTGATGAGCATTGAAAATAAACTAGTCCATTTATTCACTGAATCAATCGTTGTATGACTTATTGTAGAAATTTAAGTTGAAATATTTTGATATACCTTTATATATAGAATTTTTTAAATGACGATGTGTGCTACAGATGACAGATATAAGTAGTATGTATGATCAATCGATAGTGAATTGCCTAACGGCAGAAGGTGAAGAAGATCAAAGAAAAAAGAACGAGAACGGAGAATGATTGTTGTGGAAACGAAAGATCAATGAAGTCCGAGACGATTGATTGATATTCAGCAAATGAAGAATCTACTGCATGGACCACAGATTTTACTAAAATGTTCTGTAATTTTATATTCAAATACATTCGATTGTCCCCACTTGAGTTCTCGTTCATCACAACTCCATAAGAAAATATTTAGTGAACAGTTAGCAGTTTGTTGAATATGTAAGTAGTCAATTGTCTTGTTGCGTAGAAGATAGAAAAGTTGACAACAGGTTGTTATCACGTTATGATAGTCACGAATAGCTGCATACAAATAGTGAACTTAATAAAAGTATAAAATTTTGTTACAAAGTTGGCAGTTGTTTATAATATATCCTGGTCATGTTCGGTATTCTATGGAATTCCGTTTAGTCAGAACATCGTCTTTGATGTCTCCCATAGAACTGAATTTTGATTTTGATTGTTTCTAGTACTGATTTCAAACAGCTGTGTTTTTCATCAGTCTGTCAAATGTTTTGTGGATTTATTCTCATACAAGTGTCTATAGATGACATCTAGCTTTTTATCATAGTTTACGAGTACTGATAACTCTTCACAATCGAACAGAGTATTTTCTGATATTCTTGTAGCCGTTTGAAAACCTGGGCATAATTATTTATAATTAAATGCCTAATTCAGTAGAACACTAATTTCATTTATTGTTCAAGTAACCATTAGATCAAATATCAAACGGTTTACACATCCAAGTAATAAAACACTGTTTTGTTAATCAAATCATACGAGTAATGTTCGAAGTTTTTATTTACACCGTTCGTAAATGGTGACAACAAAAATCTCCTCTTCACGTGAATCCTACGAATGATGTGGTTAGCAGTATCATGAATATGCTTTACATATATTTTCAAGATAATTAATCAACTTAACAGAGTGAGTTGTTGTTGTTGTTGTTGATCGATGGAACACTAGTTCAGTAAATAAGTCGAGATTACAAACTGGAAGGGTATAAAATATATTTTACTCTAATATATTCTACTCCACACTGTTCATCTAAACCGTTTACCCACCAATTAGGAACGTCATTTTAGCCTCCAGTGAAATGCCTATTATTGGACCCATAGAAGTAGCCAATCTAGTTCGGCGATGTCAGTTCTAGTTAGCTTTGTTGTCAGCCATGTCTAACTCAGATAATGAAACTGATATGAATTTCAGAGAGCTGTTCGTTGCTGTAGGAATTTAGACGGGAGCGTCACTCCTGAGACAACTGAGAACTTACAAGAAAGTTACTTCCGCCACTTCACAATACGAGACAGTAATGGAAATCCAAATTATTTTTATATAAAACATGTATGTGAAAGGAAATGCCATCTCCAGCGAACAACGAGTAAAACTCAGCGGGAGTTTGTATTGAAGTAAAGTCTCTATCTATATGTTTAAAAAGCCTGTTAGTAGTGGTTACAAATTCTTTTATATTTGTTCGACTGATAGAAGGGTTTTATGCAGTAACAAGATGGTTAGTGAGTCATAATCATGAGTTACTGCGTATAGCATACGAGAAAGACCCTAGCTTCTGTCATTTCGAAGCCTAACAGAGGAATACGATTCATCTTTCATTAATTTTCTGAACTGTAGTTTTTGTTGTCGTTAGTTTTGTATATGAAAATAGTAGAAAGAAAATAATCGCCCAAGATATTTCGGATGTGTAATCACGTTTATTTGGAAGATTGAAACTTCCAAGTCAATCGAACCTTGTTTATCATCACTTTTCAGTATATTATTTTGAGAGGTTAGTTATGTATACTGTTATAACGTATGCCCTGAGCAGTCTTGGGTGCTATTCGGTCCTTCCTAACTGCCTAGCCCAGCCCGTTAAGTCCAGAACACAAATAACAGCCTCGGAAATATGAATCATTATTTACAAACACACTGGGTTTTTATACAAACCAAAGTAATCAATAAACTGATTATAACTCAAGAATCGTATGATCATAAATCAAAGATCAAAATAAAGCTAATGATAAGAGAAACACAAATATGAATAATTTAGTTACGTAACAACTGTACAATAAGAAATAGGCATAATACATTGGTCGATAATAGACCTCAGATTTACGATTCATAATTCACCAGGGGATATAACACCTCCCCTTTTTGAGAAATCCGGAGTTGACATCCGGATTTTTAATTTCTCGAATTCACCCTCCCCCACGAAAGATTGTTGGATCCTCATGTACCCAAGTTACCGTTATTGTGACATTATTTAAAACATATTCGTCGTATTTAACAGAGAATCCACCAGAACTGATTATATCGTGAGGATCGACGACATTCGATTTGAGGTCACCGGCGTCTGATTCTTTTGAAACACTTTCCTTGAATTTACTCGGAACCTCATTAGTAGATAATGAATCATTAGGATAATCAGTATCTATGAAATTTGTATTGGATTCTTGATTATCATTTAATGCATCCGATATTTTTCTCCCATTTTTATAAGAGATTTGAACTGGAACATATGAATCAGCAAAATAATCGGGATCTCGCAGAACAATTAGATAATCTTGATCATTAGATTCATAAAAAAACTTTTTTGCATCATGACTGGTTTGATTTGGCGCCACTGTATTCAATATACTGCCCGATTTGTTCCCCGTTTCTTCGTGGGCGGGTACTACAGTAATTCCATGAGCATTTAGCAAAACATTGTCTTTCTGTAAACAGGTTGATCCACTGTTTGCACGTCCGTTTTCGGGGTTAATAGGACTTGGACCGTGTATAGGGCATGTCTCTGAAACAGGCAACACCGGACTACTGGGCTGATCATGTAGGACTGTTACTGCTGCATCTAAATTACTGTTTTTCGCGGATTCATAGAGGCTTTCCTCTGCATATTCATTTGTTCTGTAATCGACTTCCAGTTCTGTACGCAATTTAGAAATCAATGCGTCAACTTCCGTTGCACTCCCAAAGCATGGGTGATTCAGCAGCGTCGCGTGTAACTTGTCAATGAAATCCAACTGACTCTTTTTAAAACGCTGCTCTTGTCTCTGAATTAGCAACTGAAATTGATCGGAAGTTAAAGCCATTTTTTTACCCTGTCGTCAGTTGTTATATCGTATGGGCCCGTAATTTATATGAACGCCAATTTAGAGAGGAGTGAATTTATTGATCGGACGCAAATGATACTTGAAATCGTACGAGCAGACTAGAGTGCTGACCGGTCCTGCGATCTGCCAAACACAAATATGAATAATTTAGTTACGTAACAACTGCACAATAAGAAATAGGCATAATACATTGGTCGATAATAGACCTCAGATTTACGATTCATAATTCACCAGGGGATATAACATATACCATTGAGACTGGAGGTGCAGCAGAGACACATCGTTAAGTGAATGGTTGTCTGGAAAGCTACTTTTCTCAGCGGTAAATAAACGAATCTAGGTCGTCGATTTTTCGATGTTGTAAGTACTGATGGTATTTAAAAGTGTAACAAAGAGCGCATTTCTCTAAACGAGATAGTGGTATTAAATGTCTACGCATTTAATTTGTTCAATAGTTGACAAATGGGCAGTTTCGAATGTTTCCTATTTTTATCTCACTTATCCGTCCAGTGATTCAGTTGATAATTAAGTCATATTCGAATTTATCCTTGGCGGGATAATCTGTGAATGGCTGCACATAACTGAAAAAACGTAGTCCCGTATATACGTGAATAATATAAATAGTTAAGATTATCACTTGTTCTAGGACGTCAAAATTTTTCTGTGAAGTAGAGTAAGACTGAGGAACACGATAGATCAAATGAACTCTTTGAACAGTAATCAATGTTTATATCTCTAATTCCTTTTAAGTGACATTACAATCTACTATCCTGTTATTCACTATCATTGCGTGGGACTTCATGAATAATTTCATCATACATATATATTATCACTTTATTAGTAAACAAAATGGTTAATATATCGGCATTCAATTTCTCCGGTAAATTCTTAGTTACAGTAGTATACTTGTGCACAGATTTCACATTTCGAATTTTGTTGTCATTCCACATCAGTTAATTCTACTTCACATGGAATTAACTGTTTAGCATTGAGTTGTTTTACGACTTACTGTTTTTGATGAACATTTAGATTGTTGAGCAGTTAGCTCACCAGCAGAAGTTAAGTACCATTAACCGTCATATTAGGCTGGATGCTTAGAAAGTTTATTTTTCCAAACTGATGAACTGACTAAAATAACTGTTCATGGTCCTTGACCAATAAAATGGGAAGGGTGTTATTTTGACAGTGACTATATAATTAGTCTGCATCACATAGGAAAAAGGCAGAACGCACTAATCACATGAGTGATTTCTGGGAAAATAAGGAACAGAAATTTATGAATTTTATTACCCTCAACTCCACCCGATAGAAAAGTTGTCAACATACATAAAGAAACTTAAATTGCAGACCTATCATTTCACATAAAAAAATTTATATTTTTTAATACATCATTTAATAGTATATTACGTGTATCAAAAAGTAATTGTTCGTAACAAGGATTTAACACATCGAGAATACAGTGAGACCATCAAATGTCAAAAATGCTCAGTGAGGTTCCAATAAATGAGATATTTCTTTTGCTCCTAGAAGACGGATTCTCTTCCAAATGCAGTAGGAATAACATGACGACGAAACAATTGTCACAAATAAGGTTGTTTTTTTTCTAAAGATAGTTTCGCTAAAATTCATGTGACGAATAATCAAATTCTAAACGTCATACAGTTATGAATTACAAGCGATTATAAAAATGTTTTTATAATGAACCCCCTGAAAAGAATTCTTTCTATAACTATACTTACCCTATGACCTGATGTTTACATTGACATGATAAGAATCTGAATACATTTCTACGTATAAAAATTTATTAATGACGCTAATGTATGATGCTCAGTGAATAGTTAACTGCGAAGCTGATAAATATCTCACCATTGATCGGACTTAAACTTGGTGGTAAAGACTTTTCAGTTGGATCACTTGAAGCTGAAGTTTGAAGCAATGTTCACAAATTATAGATCATAAAAAAACAGTATTATTGTGCATTTTTATGAGCTACTGATTAGTGTTAATTGGTTAACTACTGTACTGTACAAAAGAAACAGAAATCCGATCAGCACGTTTCATTCCAGTGAATTCTAATTCATAGAATCAACTTGAAGATGAATCAGTGTATTCTATCTAAATCAAGAAATAAAAGTAAGTTCACTTTAAATAAACTGTTATTGTTAGGTCTGATTCACTCCAACTTCTGTGTATTGTTTTATATTACTTATTACCTTTATTCAGCAAATAGTTTTATTCCTAGCAGTTTCTACTCTTATGTGGTAACGCACGTTGGTCATATAATATTCTGAAATGTTTACACATACTTATAACATTCATTCATTCATTAATAATGACTTGACATCAATTATTGTAGTAGTTATTCGAAATTTTGTGCAGTCGTACAACCCCTGTTCAAAGTCAACAGTTTCCATATTGCTTGCTCTTAGTTCGATTTTTCCTTGTTAATTAACCGTTATCGAGTTTAGACATAAACAACGGCCATCATATTTCGAACAAAAAGACGTTGTAAACACTGAAAACACCTCACAAGTTGTGGTTCGTAACTAAATTTTGTCTATTATTCACTAAATAATCACTATTTGAGACAAAACGATGTTTGTGAACTTCGATTTTTCACGTATCTCAATTGAGTGACATGGACGCTTCCATATGCTTTTCAAATGTAATATAACCACATTTTATGAACTGGAACTTGTGTTAAGATTTGATTATGTATTCAACGTATCAATCTAGTCGTTATTTAACACATATCAAAATGCATTTTGTTAACAACAATATATAAACATATAGATAGATTTTCATGTTCTATAGAAAATTCATGACTATTTTGTGACTACATTTACAGAAGACCACATTACCTATTGAGAATTCAATGAATATGAAACGTTGTAAGATGTCTGCGTGTTGCAGATTTTAATTCTCGATTGTATGTTGTCAAAGTTCTAGCTTATTCAGAACTTTTACAAATACACAATCTACCTAGTCCTTACATATTTTTGACTAACGATTTATTCTCCACATAATTGTATTTTATTCAGGGCAATACTTATACTCAATAGAATTTCATCAATAAAGAGTCGATATTAACCATTCGTTAACATGAGTTATCAAAAGTCATGTCAGTGGGAGATTTGATTCACATATAACAAAGCGATTTGATGAGAGACAATAATGTAAGCTTTCTGTATGTGGCTATTTGTTTACTGAAATCCGATTTATACTACATAATCTAGTTATATTGATAGTCTCGATCCGTGGTTATAGAGCTACTTTATGAGTAAGTTTCTGATTGTGAGAGTAAGGTGATTTAGACCAAACATACAGGTATGATGTTTAACAGTGATGAAATGTTTAAGTTTTATATACTAAAATGTCTAACCCATCAGTTTTGTCGTAAGCCCTAATTTCCTAACGTGTTCCGGTCCTAAGATGTTGATTCTGAATATATTTTATTTTACTTTATCGTTCTGAAGTATTTCGTTGCTTAATATCGTCAATCTTTAATTCTGAGCAATGTGTTATTTTCATTCTTCACTATTTGCTTCACACTCCTTTATTCCTGCGATAGATGTTAGGTGACCTCTATGTGCATTCTCTTCTCAATGCATCTAATTTTATTTGCCATGCAATACATACTTGTTTTCACGTATTCTCCCAACGTACAACTAGGCATAGTCGCAAAATGAAAGTAAATTTCAAACATTCCATCAAGTTGACTTTCTTTAGTTTATCCAAAATAAGTTAAAAGATGCAAAAATAACAACGAATTCACAATCAACAAAATGGATACAGATTTCAAATAAACTAATAGACGAGTATCATTATTACTGTTTGAATGTTTAACTTAATTTTGGTTTGGTATGATCGTTATTTCTATAAGTTCAATATTCGTCTTGATCAAAGTACATGGCATATACACAAATATTAAATTAGTATTATTTTCATACACTTTATAAGATAATTGTTCTGGGATGAAACGAGTCTTCACTCCATGTGGATAATGAATGGACATTGGAACAAAAATTTCTGCAACTAACAATGTTGAGTTCACATTTGTACAATTCTTCTGTGTTGGTACAAAAGCATAATAAAACACACCTGAATCTACATCGAATCTCAGTTGGACAGGTTGACCGGCAGTTGATTGTGGATATGTACGACTGAACGATTTCAACTGCATGAGAGAGAAGAAATTATGAAGTGAAACAATGTACTGCAATAATGTGAAATGCATATGTAAGCTATTCAATTTGAAGACAGTGTAGATCATAACCTGATAACTTAATAACCAAAGGAAGTAAGGATGATTTAAAGAGATATACTAGGATGAATTAGTTATTCATATATTTCTAAAGGAACCATGAATAACTAATTTTATCACACCTGACATAAATGAATAACCAAACACTAATAACTAGCTAATTATATGACAACTGTAAGAAGTAAAATGGCCCTTCTGAAATTAATATCTCTACTGAAATGGAGTAAGCTGTCAATATTTTTCGACCAGATGTTTTTGCTCATAAGCTTACTTTAGAACTCTATCATAAACGACATTGAATAAAACGATCAGAGGCAAACTGAATTCTTCGATTCACTTGTTATTTTACTGTTCTTTGGTTAATAGGCTGTTATTGTTAATGACTAACTTTCTCGAATTGTTTTCAAGAGATGGGTATCGTAACCTGATGATAGAAACACATTCACTAAGCACAGCTGATGATCGTGTTATGCTGGCGGTGAACGAAAGTCTGATAATTCCTAATACTAGAGTTTTCCGACGTTATCTCAAGTCAAACAAACGAGGAAGGCAAATAATATTTAATTGTAAAGATGAGCAATAATATGTATTGAAAAGTTAAAAGAAGGTAGTTCAGAAGAGAAAATCAGAGATCAAACGCTCACACGATCTCGTTTCGTGAATATCAGCGAACTAAGAAATAAATGTGATATTATTTCTGGAGAGAAACCAAAGACCAGACGAAATGGATACAAAATGGTACAACTCAAAAACTTTCATCCCAATAACTAATACTCCTCAATCATGCTTCATTATCGTACATTTTGTAAGGTTGATTGTCCTACTAAGTCGACTTCCTGAGCAGTTTACGAAAGCTTTTGATATCACCAACTCACGAAATCTCAAAACTTATCCGTATACATCATCTTAGAAATCTGTTTGTTATAAAGTAGATTATTATTGACCATGTGGTTGTGGACAGTTGAAATTAATAGATCACAGATATGTGTGTTTAGGCAAAAGAAAAATGTAAATGGTGGTTAGTTCCTTCCGTTCTTCGTTTATTTTTAAAACTCATCTTTTTTTATTGTACTGCAGAACTCTGAATTCATGTAAAGGGAATGAAAATCATCCACAAAACGAAACGTATGCATTAGACATTTACCTATGACAGGGACCAACATGATTGAGTTCATTAGTTGTGAAGAATAGTTTAAACAGATCATTTTATAGAGTAGAGTTCTTGTTCTCCAAAATTGGTATCGTTGCGAAAAGGGAGTCAGAAAATGTGCAGTTCTGCGGACATTGTTGTGAGGCAGAGAAAGGAGTGATTAGTTTGTGCGGTTCGGCCTAGGAAGGAGACTTACAGTGAAGTGTCCTGAAGGTGCAGTTTTTTGATGTATCAGTCGCTGTCGATTGGGAAAAGGAGCTGGACGTTCGGCTCAAGAAGAAAACGTCACGACAAGCAAAACTCCTGCAGGAGTGACCGTTTATATGGTGGGGTAAAATGTGGTGCAGGCTTCGTATGCCAATAGTCTTAAGAAATATGTAGGAATAATCAAAAATAGAATACCTGAAAGCGGAAGATTGAAATAGAGAGAACAGAAAGGAAATCGGACAGGAATCGAATTAACAACAGAGTTAGAGCAATAGTGGATCATGTAAAAGAAAAAGTGAAAATGTGCAAATGTATTTAATGTATGATTTCTATATTTTGCCAAGCCACTGTGTGATTGCACACAAAACAATAAATAGCTTATCCCTATCTGATTTCTCACTCACTACAATACAAGTAGGGGGAAGACCGTTTCCTACCTATACATATACTGATGACACTGTACAGAATGAAAATTATAAATTTCCTCACCGTACAGAACATAATGGCTGCAATAAGAAATTTGACATAAATTCAAAAAAGATATTATCAATTACAAAACCTACGGAAATGTTTTCTACATTTAAGTTAGAAAATAATTCATATCCGTCCCAGTACGTCCATGATTCGAAGTTCCTGTCTGCTGCATTCAGCACAGCATTACATTCAACCGCATTTATTGAATCTGGATTACCATCAGGAAGACACAGACCGAATTCTGTTAAAAACCGTCCGCCACCAGTGGATCGAACTATACTTCTCACATTTTTGAATGCATAATTTAAGAGAAGCTAAACACAAGCAATAACAATATCAACATTGATAAGTATGTGAATGATTTCTGCAATGAAACTAGACTACAATAATCTGCATACACTGTGTCAAAGCAATAACACATCATCCATTTTGTTCATTGACCTATCATTCATTACATTTATGACTTAGTTATGAAAAATTGCATAAAACCAACAGACGTTCAGTATTCTCCATCTTCAAATGATTATGATTATATTTATGTTCACAAATACTTACATGATCGAGTGAGGAAAGGCACAAAAATTGAGTGATTTCGAATTCTGTGGTTTGATTACAAAGTAACTGGCTAGGAAAGAAGATGATTCTACAAATCAAAAAATCAGTCATTTCTTAACAATCCATAAATAAAGATTCACACAACACCGAATCATCAGTTCAGTAAGATGGAAATGAACTAATACCAAAAAGTGACATCTTGTCAAGCAATGGCCATTATGTCTAACTGACTAAATATCACATTAACCAGAAATCCTCCATAAGCTTATATGATTGACCATATAAGTTTATTGACAATGTTCTCGCGTTCACAATTGTTGAATGTGAACAATATATATGTAACTGATGTTAATTTGTGAGGAGAACTCATTCGAACATTGTAATTGTTAGTTGATGTGTCACGATAACAGCAAACTGTTATTCGATTATGTGTATCACAAATGATGGAATGCATCACATCATTGAGTCAGATAACACGTATTCATTGAATCAACTCAAACGACTTACATTAGTATGACCAATGTTTTCTTATCGTAATTTTTGATGAAAATGAAGTTATTAAATTGTTATCTGTGCGTAGGGAGGAATCTTACAAATTATCTTTATTTATTCATAGTCCATACAAACAACAACACGAATTTAAAATCACTCATTCTTTTCTATTTTCCACCACTATGTCAACGGAAATTGAGATATATCCCCTTCTGCTCATGTAAAAAAAGATTCCATTAATGTTCCATTTTGCTAAGGCCTGTAAAGTTAAACAGTCTATTCAAACTTAATCATTCTACAATCACCGCAAATATATGAAGAATGAAATTCGTTGTGAAATTCCACACATCATGAATGACGGTTTGAATACAAATCACACGGTTTAAATTTTCGTTCCGAGATTACTCTACAGTACTTTCATTTGGTTCAGTTTATTTTCTCATCTTATTTGACTTGTTTTAATCAATTACAAAATACACTATGGTTCTAACAATTTTGCAAAGTTATTCATCATGTTGTTTACTGAGAGTATTTCCATGGCGAAAAGATAAATAGACATCTAAATGGTAATTGATAAACATGAGCAAGTCAATGGGTGTTATTCAATGAAGTAGAAGTAAATCAATTCTGAAGTATATTAGTGTTTTGATGTTGCTTTCATTATTGTTATTATCATTATCAATGCTAGTTTTGGTAGTGAATCTTTTGTCTGTGATTGGCTTGATTTCCATTAAGGATCAGCAAAAGTGAATGTATTGCCTAAAACTAGAAATCAATAATCGAATCTTTTTTCTACAACGGAACCTGTCAGGAGCAATTATCAACAATTATGACAGATGTTGGAGCACAAACTTCCAAATCTGAAGGTAAGTAAAAAAAATTTGGACCTCTGAGATAAAATACAACTCATGAAATATTATCGTTTAGTCAATTTACAATGGTGTTCAATGATCGTGCAATGTCAAAGATGATCAATATGCCACCACTCATCTATTTGAACCCCAGTAGTAACGACTTCTCATTCGGATCTAACGACATTTCTTGGTGTGCTACGTGGTTTCACAAACAAAAATGTGTTACAAGTACTTGTTTGAGTTCACTCAAATCTATTTACTTAGTCAACGTTTACAAATCTAATCATCGTATTGAAAGTGATCAACTATAAGGATGAAACATCTGAGATAATAACTCCATACGTCTGCACAGTTGAGAGATAATTTGGATTTGAAATTTCTGTCAACGACCAACAAACTTAAACCAACAGATAACTCTTCTCATAAACATTGTGAAACCTTTCAGAATTACGACTGAACAAATGTTCATGGCCTATAGGATTCGAGTGGTCTATCAATCAATTTTAATATCTTGATCGAAATCAGTTGAAATAATTGGAAAGGCTTATGAATAAAAACGAGATAATCCAAATAAAATGTCAGCAGATTTAGTGTTTCATTATTTATAATATTTTAATGAGAAGTAGGAATTACTGAAGCTAAAGCCAATTTTCACATGGTTGGTGTTTGCAAAATTCTGCTTAACAGAAATATTGAAGGTTCTATGTTGTTTAACTCACATCCAATAAACAATGACGTTCTTACTATATGAAATTCATTCGGTAATTAAATTTTAGGCTTAATATAAAGTAGAGAAATCAAAAGACTACAGCTAAAATGTCAATCATCGAATGTCAAACTACTAATCTGAAAAATCACTCGCTAAGACCTATTGAAGCTTCAGTTTTGATTTCGGGTAGTGTTGTAAGCACGCACTACTGAGTAGTTTTTAGTTGTTGGTTAGTGTGAGGACATGGTGTCAAATGTAAACAATATTTTATTACGAAAATACTCTGGGTCAGCGGTCCTTCGATCCTTAACTGAATGTAGTTGTTTTGAATATAGATCGAATAATTTAATAAGGGTGACAAAGAATTTCAAAATTTTTCAGTCAAGTCTGGTTATCAAGTTACGAACAAAAGTCAAGTCAGTCAGCTTATGCTACAAAATATCAGTGGGTGAATGTTGGTATTAAGGCATCAAATATTTAAAATGCACATACACTACAAACAATAAACCAGGTATTAAAACTCTCACCTGATCACACAAATATTGTTTCCATGATGGCATATGCTCTGTAGCTGGTGTCGATTGCAATAGACAACATTAGTAATGATAAGATAATACACTCTTCTTTCTGGCCATCTCATCTTGTAATAGACCAGGAACACGTTACATGCCAGTACCAGGTATTCCATTGACAAATGGAAAATATATTCCATAAGTTACACTCTCGTAAAATATCAATGTATCCTTGTCTGTTTGACGAATAACATTCACCAAGTAATCATAAAACAATAAAAGATTTTGACCTGCAATATCTGTGCGAATAGAAAAAGAAAAAGACCAGAAATGTATGAACCGAAATAGATTTTCAGAATGAAGACAATTGAGAGTTAACAACAATGATTTCCAATATCGCAGCACATAAGGAAGACAGTCTATGTTTTGTTGAAATGAACATATCTGTGATGGACAGAATGTTTTCGGAAATCATGATTGTGGTTTGTGATGAAATTCACGACTCTCCTACCATTCTATTCGGAAATTATAAGATGATTGTAAGCAGCTGATAATAAACGACGAATTGTATTAAATTCATATTATTCGACCTCAATGGTTGTTGTGTAATTCGTACAAGGAACCAATTGAGTGTCATATTATGCTTTCGCAAATACTTAGGTTTATGCGTAAAATCTATAATAAAAACATGAAATGTGTCTGAAAACTATGCTCTTATCAACATGAACTACGGAATGATCTATAAAGCTCAATTCAATGGGTGATGATTCAGATATTCGTAGCGCAACCTTTGAAGATTAACAGAATGGTTCATCATTAAAATATAATGAACTATGTAAATGATCCACATTGTTATTATTACAATCAATTGAATAGTTCATAGTTCTTCTAATTACTAGTTTAAGTAGATTGAATACTGAGTCTTGCTTATTAGAGATACCATTGAAAATCATGTTAATCATCAATTCACAAAAGTATACAAACACACACACACACACCAAAACTACGGTTACTTTTATCAAATTAACCTAACTGCAGTTCAAAGTTTCATTATTGAATATAATTCTAAGAAGATCTTTATATTATTTTCAGTACTGCGGTTTGAATAATCTATCATACGGGGCATAATAAACAAACCATTAAGGCTGTGATAAACAACACGATTTCTCTAATTTATCAAGTAATGATGGATGAATATTCCCTTTCCTTACGATCTCACCTACTTTTATCAATTCCATGAACCAAAATTTTCCATATTTTCATGAAGCGAAAATCATGGATCATCAGCAATGAAAAGGTACATCAAAGACCGAAAACGTTTCAATCAATGTTATCTTATTCTATTATGATCGACCAAAAATACTGTCTAATAATAGGAGGATAATTATATACTTGACAGTCAGTTAATTACTCAGTTATTCCACTAAATTAACGTGATTCAATAAGATCAACGAAATGACCAAGTATCAAATTGTATTCAGTCTTTTCTTCCTACTTTCACTGCACTTT